TTGTCTGCAAAGCAGTGGCTTCCCATGTGGTCTGTTATGTTTATAATTATGGGTGTCTGGTGGGTTTTTTTGACCTCTTTTCACTCATTACCACTGCACTCAATATCATGGCAAAAGAAGGGTAATGATTTTTTTTTTTTTTTCAATTGTAGCTAAAATGCTACCATAGCAGTGAGTATGTGTTGGCCAAAGTCTTTATTATGCAACTGTATGCAGATCACTGTGAATTGCATCATTCATCTAATTCAGCGATGCAGCACCAAGGTCACTGGGCATTTTTAAGCTAATGATGAGACCATAAGTCTAATAAATGTGCTTGGTAATCACAGCAAACATATTGTCATTGTCGCAGATGTTATTCTTTCAAAATCATTTGGCAAACACAACTAAAACAGAGCCCTTGTGCATGCTCTGACCTCCTCTAGAATGCACCATCAGGACCACTGAGAAGGTGAGATTGTTTAAGCAGAAAAGTCATGGCCTACAGCTACAAAATTTGTACCTCTAACAGCGCTGTTGCAGTTTACTTAGAATAAACATGCAAGAGGCTAAACGAATCAGCGAAGGGCAAATTTTGACAGAGAGCAGATTTTGAAAAGGAATATACCCATTAGTAACGTCAACACAGGTAGAGATCAATTTCATATTACAATGATCTAGGCAGGTTGACATTGATTATCCAGTTTACTTTTGTAGCCATTGAGCTTCAGTAACCCATTACTTGCTGATCCAGTAGCCTTTTGTTATCTGTCAGAAAATACATTACCCACCAAATTCATCATGTCATTGTGAGCTTTTCCATTATGTGCTGTGATTCTCCATAAGGCTTATCAGATGCTGCAATTGCTGAGTTCTTTGGAACTACCTACATCATCTCCCGGGCTGGGTCACCACACTGCTAATGCTATGCCCTCAAAAAGTGATGTAGTGCCCAGAAATTGTTAGAGCTCCAGTGTCTTGTGACCTGTCATATATAGGTATATTTTAATTTTTACATATGTATATCAGACATATGTATATTTTTGGCTAGAAGGCATGAACAAGCTCACAACAGCCTGACCACTAAATATACTCTGACAACAGGGGGGAAAAAGGAAATTTAAAACAGATACAATTTATTGCATTCTGGCTTTACTTATACCTATTATTGATATGAATAAAAGTCAGTAATTCAACATTACTGCAAAATTCACTTAAGACCATTCAGTGGACAGAAAATGCCAATGTGAAAACGGCTGTTTAACAAGGAGCTGAAATAAACGTGGTGGCAAAAGAGGTCTAAGACAAGACACAGTGCTGTCATTTCTCATTCTCAAGTGACATAAATAATACAGTAATAAAATCAGTTTCAATTCTCTTGTATGCAAACTTTCTGTTTCTGAAAACAGAAAAAAATTACCTTTTGCTAATGGAGCTATTTTACCAGGAAGCATGACACGTGTCCAATTCAAAGTGTCAGCAGCTTTCAGTTCTCAAGTCAGTTCACCAACAGTTAAACTATTCAAGGCCTGTATTATAACCATTTAAGGATGACATATGACAAGATTATTTTTGAAAAATAGTAGGACCTTGGTACTGCAAATGTGACCCTTGGCTTATCAAGGAAAGCAGGTCGCTGGATGCAACCTGATGTTTTGTCAGAAGCTGATGTTCAGATTACCATTTTATCTTCGCTTCATGCTCTGACCCAAGCCATAGTCTCCTCTCACACAGAATATGTTCACTTTCATATTGTCCTGCATTTTGCTGCAACAGTACAGAAAAATGTTTAGACTAAAGTAGAATACTGCAAGCTCATTTCTGAAGGTGACCTTGAGTATGTTTGGCACACAAGTGCGGTGGAAGATGGGCAAGCACTTCATCTCCTGTACCTCTCCTATACCACCTGTGTCCAACACTTGTATCACCACTTGAAATAAAAAAAAGGAACTAAATAAGTGTCAATTTTTATCTGTGAGTGCACATTCAGAATTGCACTTTATTGTGTGTGCTATGAAAATCAAGAAATCAAAAACAGATTAGAAACTTTCACCCTCCAAAACCATTAACATCCCCTCCTTTTTGCTTTGAAGCTTGTGATTGTCTTGTGATTTTTTTTTAACTATTTGGTGTGGGAAGAATGAATTAAAAATCAGCCTGTGACCTATTACTATTTTATAATCCTCTCTTTGGCAAGCTGGAAGCAATACCTTGCCAGGCTTGTATTTAAACTTTCATGGAATGACGTGAGGAAATGCTATACAATGGCCCAGACAAGAGGCAAGACCGGAAAGCTAGGTAGTAATGGGAAGGCCTGTCCAGAGAGGCAGGACAAGAGTATATTACCAAATACACAAATTTAGAACTGATCTTAGACCAAAATAACTTTTTTTTTTTTTTTTTTTAATTAAACAACTACTTATAATTATGATCATAGGCTTTTTTTTCATACAGGAAGCACACAGGAATAACAGGGTGCAAAAACATCACCATGGCCATGCTGACCTTCAGAAAGGTAAAAATGAGAAATCTTGTTTAAAAGAAATTGAAGAAGGCTGGCTAAGAGACTTAATTCTTCACAGGCAGCACAGAGGCATCTGAAGGAGACCATACTGGGAGAAGAGCACCAGTGCATATCGCTTGCTGGAATTCCCTTGGGAACAGGTAAAAGGAAATCAGGACAGCTAAACAGTAAAGCAAGAGAAGTTATGGAAATTAAGAAGTTAGCATTCAAAATTATTAAGATGCATCTCAGTGAATAAAAAAGTGATAGATTCTGAGAGAATAAATGTAAAACTATAATTAGACTAGCACTTGCTTTGTAAATGTGGCAAAATTTCAAGGTGATCATTTTCCCTGTAAGTAATTTGACTTCTCTATGACATCAAGAGATAAATTGATAGCTTGATTCACTGGTTCCCCTGCCATTTGTATCATGCAGATTAGGATAAAGATTAATATAAAGTGCTGTGGAATAGAGCCACTTTATACTTGTTTTAGGCAGCATGAGTGATAATAGAAAGGATAGGACAAAAATGCATGTACATGTTTCTAAATCTTGCCTGAACTTCAGAAGAAG